TCTTTCGAGTATTTAGTCTAGCGGTATTATAGACTCGGTTACTCAGACTAGTCTTATCATTATATTATTGTATTAGCGTGATATACCACAGAGAGAGGAAAATATTTTAATTAGTCCGTTATCCCATGGAATTATTTAACTGTTTTATTAAATCACATCTATTGGATAAAATCAGAACAATGAAATAGCTTAGATTTTGTGACCAATGATCCATGCTCTCAGTTTTGTGTAGCGTGTTCACCATGTACAGGTTTAAATGCTGTCAAGATACTCGATGTCCGATTCCGAAACACATGTTTCTTTATACGTCTGCCTAAAGAGCTTCGTGAATCGGAAGACTGAGGAATGTCTATGAAGCTATAATTCTAAAAACCAGATGAATATGTTCAAAACTCACTAGTAATTATACATTTGTCTTCCTGACTCAGGAAAGGGCATGTAGGTTGAGACCTTAATCAGGTACATAATCGGCATCCTTAAAAAGCATTTCCCAACCATAATCTTTCTCTTGCCTTAAAACCATGATGTGTGTGAGTTGTTTGTTTATTTGTACAGGTGCTTGATATGTTTAAAATCATCCAGATTATCACATACTTGGCATTGAAGCATACTATTTGTCGATAGGATTTCTCAAATCGAAATAAATTGGAGTTGAAGTCCAAAAGCTGAATGTCGTAGACCGAGTGGTTTACCTATAAAGATTCTTGTCCATTCTATCAGTCTGTTTAACTGAATACTCAGTTTTCAAGTAAAACTCGTATCATGATTATGTTTACCATGACCTGGTAATTATATTGGATTTTATACATAAAATATTAGGTAATTTATCTACCTCTTTCACTGTAAAACTGATGTGTTGAAACTGTAGAGTGAGATAGCTTCCAGGATCGAATAAAAATATCTTTAACAACAGCAGTCAAGAGAAATACATACTCTTCTTCTTCTTCACCATAAAAGTTATTCTAAATAGGCCTCTCTTTAACTGTGTTTCTTACCATCCCTGAACTTAAACCAGAACTATGTGTACAAAAAAAGTACATCTTAGATAAATAATTCTTAGATTATTTTTACTTAGAGAAATATGAAAACTATTAGTATTAATTCATCATTTTCATACATAACTCCGCCTGTAGCCCCTCCGGAGGCTACTGCCGGTTCCAAGCCTGGATAAAGGAGGAGGATTGGGCATGAGGTTAGCGACACCATCCCGTAGAAAACTAACTCGCTAAAAAAACGCTAACAAGAAAAATTTATTCAAACCATTTAAACTTTGCCCTGGGAATTGAAGGAACAATTATGACGTCTAATGATGAAAGCCGAGTCCCTTCGGAAGTCACGAGGCCGATGACCCTTCTAACAATCGAAAGGAAGGCTCAGGACAGAGTGGGTTGGAGAATGGTGATCGGTGACCTATGCTACATTGGGAGTAACAGGTGTAAGTAAGTATTTTCATACATACAACATAACCTATAAATTGAGGATAATGATGACTAATTCAATTATCATATATGACCTTAATATTTTGTAAATTTTTGCAACTTGTATAGACATGTTTCATAAAAGTGCAAATGAATGATATTTATCAAAAGTCACTATTGAATACGTAATTGGTATTAACATGAATTTATCTTTAAAAAAATGTAACTTTAATTGAACAATCATTAAAAAACTAGGAAAAACTAGACAGTTCACTTGGTATTGTTTGTTTGAATCTTCCCATTGATGTTTAAGATTACAACTGAGTCCCGCAGTGAACATCAACTCTGAGATACAGGTGGTACACCCAGTTGACGAGTCCCAAATAGGACGAAATGTGCGTCCTAAATTTCATTGCTAGTCACCATCTATCGTATTTGCTGACTGTAATTTTTAAAATGATGATTCTATCTTCATTCAGAACTCAAAAAGTTGATAATTTATGGATGAGGCCATTTTAAAGAAGCCTATCTGTAAGTCTAAAATGATTTGAAGGCTAGTGAGCTAATGAAAATCATTCACAATGTCCAGCACAACTGAATAACACGTGATTTAATAATCATTTGTTGCTAACTTATATTATGTCTTATAATACTTGGGAAAAACTCTAAGGATGTTTATTACATACTAACAGATAGTTATCAACATTAACATATTGAAGAAAATAGCTTTCTTCAGGTGGAATATACGTTTCAATAAGGGTTATCAAAAGTTTGAAGCTGATACAAAAGCAAAACGACCGTTGACCTTCTATGCTGATGTAAACATCGAACGTATGCAGCCTTTGACTTATTGTTTGCATGATAGGCGAACGACTGAATTTGAAACTACCTATCCTTACGATTCTAGTAACATATCAAATGATAATCCGTCTGAAGAATTTGAATCTAAGTTACTATCATGAATATTTTGGACATTGTAAATGATAAGACAAATGTCTTTCCAAAAAGTATACTACTTATATACCCTGAATTTTATAAAATAACATCTTTATGACAGCAGTTTGCATTTTTACTAAACTGATTATGGATATTGCCATCTTAAGCAATTTTGCTTAAGTGGACTTTCAATTTGACTTTTCATTATTAGTATTCATAGCCTATATTGCAGTGTGGTCTACTTATATCCATATAAGTAGTATATGGTGAGAGTCAGACATAGAATGTATTTTGGTAGAAGAACGATAAGGAAAGAACTGAAATGAAGCGCGATTGGCAGGAAAATGCATGAACAATGAAATTAGATAAGATGGAGTGATATTTACAGAAGGAACAGTGAAGATTGAGACAATTAGTTTTTATTTTTCAAATTAACTGTTTACTGTATGGTTATCAGAATTTAGTGAGATAGTCTGTAATTTGTGCTTAGATACTTTCGATTGTCCCCACTCGTGTTCTCATTCACTACAATATGACTTCTTGTTCAGGAATCTAGTGAAGCATTACAAAATTCAAATCTGATTGTGTTATAGATACCATTACAAGATACTTTGGAATATACAGAATAATCCAAAGCGATTATTCAGTTCACTTCATGGTTTCTATTTTGCAAACTAGTCACCCAAATAGTTTATTGTAAGGCAGTGAATTTAAACTAATCAATGCTAGTAAAATGAGTGAATTCTGAGCCAACCCAATCAGTTAACCAGTCAGCCATAATAAAATTACCTGTGTTAGCCCGAGCTACTATTCCACATCAGTACAATGAGATTATAGCTACTATCCTACCATCAATTTCGATTATGATTAAATTTTGTTAAGCCTTTTTTATTAACTTACTTAACAGACAATGTTATTCGAACAGTACCAATTCGCATATTTCTTTGTACTACGATGATGATCACTATCATATCTGTATAAACATGTACGCTTGATCATATGACAGACTCTAGCTAAAGTGTTGATAGCTTAAATATCGCTCGATGTGTCATTCTCTTTCCCCATGTATATACATACTCGAATCCTATTATTAGCCTTTACCTTACCTACCCGAGCCTTATTCGATTTGACTATAAATTTGCCTCTCTATTTGCTAGCATACACATATTTGCCTCTCTGCTTCAAATTCGCTCGATGTGTCTACAGCTTTGTTATCTGTACTATCCGCTAATAAACTGTAGTCGCCGCTTCTTATTGCCTTCTGATTTCAAACACCGTTGAGATTTATATAATAACGGTTATCAAGCTGAAGCAAAGCCACTACAAGTTGAAATGATCAAGATGGATGGTATATGAGTCGAGATGATTTCGTAATGATTAGAAATACATAGAATCGAGAATATGATTAAGAAAGACAAAGTGAAAAGATATGTAAGAATATAGAAAACGTCAAAAATGATTGGCTTTTTTCAAGGAAAATTGATAACTAGAATTAGCTTTATGCATAAAGTGATGACTTTCTTCCAGGGGATTGTTTTATCCTAGTGAAGTTTAAATTACGGGTAACTTCTGAGAACCATTAATGAACCAACATTATGTAAATTCTTATTGTGTAACTATTAAGTAACTACATTATGCATATCTATATTCCTGCTATCACAAGTATTATTTTGGCCTATAGACTATCATGATACGACTTATTATTCCAAAGATGTGTTCAGTTTATTAATAACAATCGCCCACGTTCACAACCACTTTTTGGTTTGATCTTGTACAAAAATGGTATTTCATATTTTATGGTGTGATGTGGTCTGTTTGGTTGGTATGTAAACCAATTATGTTTGAAACAAATGACTCTCATAGTAGGAGCCGTTATTGGCGTTCTGAACTCAACTGGAAGGGCTAAAAGGAAAAAGAACCAATAAGGATGCTAGGCTGCTTATACCGGTCAGCAATCATCGGTTTGTGACAGTACTATGATTGTATAAGTCGCATTTCGATTGACGAATAAATCATGTGATAATTAGCTGGGCTTATAGTTACAACAAGAATCATCAAGTTATATCAATTGTAAGTATAAAATAAATATATTGAATTCACTTGGTATTGTTTGTTCGAATCTTCCCATTGATGTTTAAGACTGCGATTGATCAGTCTCTCATTGGCCATATGTGCAGACTGTGCGTATTGCCTCGATATAGCCTTAATTCACAAGCATTATAAGCAAAGAGTGAACATCAACTCTGAGATGTAGGTACATCCAGCTGACGAGTCCCAAATAGGACGAAACGCGCGTCCAACTGGACTCCACTGCTAGCCACTATCTATCTTTGCTTATAAATATATTGAATGTTTATAATATAAGCTATTTATAGGTTTATATAAGATATAGAAAATAAGATATTTCATTAAATCTTGATTGAATCAACACAATAATTAGATTACTTAACTAATAAATACTCATGAGTCAATTGAAGCTAGACCACCACGGAAAACCTGAAAGTACTGGACAGCCATTTCGCTCTATCGTAGGACTTCTCAACAGCGTACATCCACGATCCCACCTCGCAAGATTCGAACCCAGTCTAGCGAGTGATCACTTAAGCACTAAACCATTGAAGCTAGCATTTTATAAAAAAAACTTACCACTTATTTCAAGATTTTGATCTAAAATTGATTTTTCCATAGATAACCATGTAACATATGTATTAAGTGAAAATAAACCAACTGGTATATGAACATGATGAAATTTTGCTGGATTCCGATGATCATAAATATATATATGAAATAATCTTTTTGTTGTTAATCCAATAATGGTAAGAATAATTCCAATAAATAATAATCCTAAACTAATATGATATACAATGAGAGTACATCGTTTAGGATGTTTTCTATGATTATTTGAATGATTATGATGTAAAGCTAGGTTGCGTTTCATGGGAATGATTTTCAGAAAATGCGCCTAGTCCACCGGTCCACTTTATTCAGACTTCTAATTCTCTTTCCTTGAACGTGATTGGTACACTGATAAGTAACCAATAGATGGTTGATAAGCAAGCATTTTTATTATCCGTGACCTTGAAAAATCAATTATTTCTAACCAATAAAATGTTTCGTTTTGAAGGTAATTAGAAATCTATTATATTATGAAATGTTTTTAAAAACAGTACAAGTCAATTATTCTATCTTCAAGTTTTAAATCATACATAATATATACATTAGGACTGAAATTGTATAAAAACTTTTTATAAACCCTGAATGTATTGTAGGCCCCCAAATGCCCTGATACGGTCGAGAGTGGGGAGAGTACGCTTTCTCTCTCGAAGTGCTCTCACACGGCAACGTGCATAGAGCCACCGCCAAGGAAGTCCTACTCACTGTCTTCTCACAGTGGCGGGGGTGTTGTTTACGAAATTGAGAGGACGAAAAGCGAATGTCTGGAACTTTAACCGGCTTGGTGGACACGGTGAGTCCATCTAGGGGAGTTGGAAAACCCTCATTCCAAACCAATGGTGCATATGGGCTCCAGTATCCTGAAGGAACAAATGGCTTATGAATCAATCATTGGTAATTAGAAATCTATTAAATTATGAAATGTTTTTTTTAAATAGTACAAGTCAATTATTCTCTCTTCAAGTAAGTTTTAAATCATACCTATAAACAAACACCAGGACTGAAATTGAATAGTTTGAAAAAAATATCAATCATGATATTTAGATTACGTACTCATCATTTATTCGCCTCCTTACTTGTATTTGCTCAAGATTTCGACCTCATAATAGAATTGTTTAATTTTCGATTCTTAATTGCGCATGTTACGCAGTATGAAATTGAATATAAATTGAAATTGAGAGAGTCAAATTCTTCTAACACACCACAGTGATTGTTGTTTTTACCACGATTCCATGAATGTCACTTTATTTCAGTATAACGTAATATTTTCATTCGAAGGAATAGAAATTATAATCAGAAGGGGTTTTGTGGAGATTTCAGTATTTTTCAAAGTTGAAACCATGAGTCAATTGAAGCTAGACCACTCTGGAAAACCTGGGAGCACTGGACGGCCGTTTCGTCCGATTATGTGACTCCTCAGCAGTGCGCATCCACGATCACGCACTCGCAAGATTCGAACCCAGGACCTACCAGTCTCGAGCCAGAGCCCTTAACCGATAAACCGATAGATCATAGCTCACCAGTGACTGACTTCAAGATATATGTCCTGGAGTTCTAGTGGGAAGCAGTAAACAGTGGAGTTCAACCACGTCTGTTGTGAGATAACAACTCACTGAAGACAATTGGCGAACGGTTGCTCAAACTTCGTGAATAGAAATTATGTTGAAAAACAATCGGGAATTATATTGACTATAATGGAAACCATTTAAAAACCTTGTTTGAACATTGGTGATGATTGGATTCTTAGGTTAGATTTCCAAGGACCATGATTTTGAAAGATAAACTTTCAGAAAGAATATTTGTGTTCAATCTGACCGCAAAAAATAAATCATATAAAATTTGATGTATTCATGTAGTGTTTTGATTTATTTCCAGAGTCAAATAAATCTATAACGGTAGTTTCTCTGTTTTCACTAAGCGTGACAAATCTGACAACAGATTACTAAGATATCTATAGAAACCAGTCACAAAACTAGTGTCCCCCCTCCTTATAATTTAGTTCTATTTTATAGGTAGTAACTGGAGTTATAACATCGATTCAGACTTCTAAATCCTTTCATATTACATTATTGAGTGGTAGCTTGGTGTACATAACATATGAATTAGATTCGTCAATTTTCCGATTGACTTAGATTATTTGCCTAGTACTCAATAACTCATCTTAATAGTTCCTATTTTGATAGTGGTACTAAGATAAAAATGTTTCAGTTCTAATTATCATTGATAGTTTGAAGTTATCTTTAGTTGTATGCTCTAAGTTTATTATTTATTTTATTTATTTAAACACATAAATATTGGTACAAAAGACCGCCAGAAACGTATGCACCACACAAATGTCATTTGATTTATGTGAGGGCTCTGATAGTGACCAGGTGTCCAAACTGAAGCACGTGGTTTTCTTAGGGGGCCACACCCCGAGCCTTTGACCTAAAGATCTGATCCACAAGGCAATGGAGCATTGTAAGGAGATGCAGTCCCATCGTAGCCGGTGACCAACAATAAGTTATTACGCCATTTTTTCCTTCAGGATCCAGGAGCCCATGTGCACCATTGGTTTGGAATCAGTGTTTTCCAAATCCCCTAAGTTGACTTTCTGTGTCCACCAATCCGGTTAAATCGTTGGATATTCACCTTTCGTCCTCTCCATTTCGTAAACAACAGTAACGCCACGAGAAGGTGATGAGTAGGACTTCCCTGTCAGAGACTATATACGCGTGACCATGTGAGAGCATTTGGAGAGGGAGAGCGTACTCTCTCCACTCTCGGCCATACCGGAGTATTTGGGGGCAAAGTATGGCAACTAAGTGTTGCAGTGTGGAAGTGCCGGGTCAATTGAATTGTTAATAACATGAAACTTTCCAAATCAATAGAATGCAAACAATGAAGTCCAATCGTTTAATCGAAAAAAACCCAGATATCAGTAATGAAGAATATTGACATAAAATATAGATTGAGAGCCAAGGAAACAATCCGTTCACCTATAAAATAGTATTTCATATGCAGTATACAAATATATCTGTCTTCAATCACCCTGACTAATCATAGCCTATATTGATTGAATACATGACTAATCAATTCAAATGTATTGTTTTTGACTGATAGTTGAATTAATATCATAGTGAATAAAATCAAACAAGGATTATAATTAAAATTATTACTAATTCATAAACCCGACAACTTCACTTATCTTGGAAGTCTGATCAACTCTAATGGGTTAGTGTCTGACGAAATCTCAGCACGGATTCAAAAAGATCGTTTGGATTTTGCCAACTTACATCACCTATGGTGAGGACGAGATATCCATCTATCAATTTAGGGACGAGTATACTACGCAGCAGTTCGCTCTGTTCTACTTTACGGCTCTGAAAAATGGCCATTAAGAGTAGAAGATACTAGTAAGTTACTAGTGTTTGACCACAGATGTATTAAAAATATTGCTCGCATATGACTGACTGAATTCATAAACGTTAACGAGGAAGTGTATGATTTAATAAATACTTGAGAAAAACAGTCAATAATGTGACAAAATCTGAAAAATTTCCTAGTTCATTTCTATGTTAGTCGAAATAGTGTGGTGTGGGTTACTAATGTCCACATAAGTAGTATATTGTGATAGTCAGGTATAGAATGTATTTCAATAAAAGATTGATAAGGAAAATAACTGAAACGGAACGTAAATGGTTTGAAAATACATGAATAATGAAATCAGAGAAGATGGACTGATATTTGCAGAAGGAATAGTCATGACTGATTGTTATTTTGTAAATTAACTGTCTACTGTATGGCTGTCAGATTTTAGTGAGACATTCTTTAATTTGTGCTGAAATTCATCCGATTGTCCCCCAACTGTATTCTGTTCACAACAATAGTATGTCAAAAGAAACTATTTCTAACTATGTATGACACACTTCGCAAACCCTCACATAATCAAGTTTAACAACATCTATTAGCTGTTTTATTATCTTTCAATAATCTTCCATGTTTAAAGTTATCAATGATTATTTAATAATCTCATCATATCCAAGCAATAATTTAGGTAAGACTATAATTTATGAACGTCTTTTGAGGGACACTAGAGTGACCTCGACATAATAACTAGAACTAAATGACGGTTAAAAACCTGTATGAAGAGTTCGAATTATGATTTAAATTTCATGGTTAAGGTTAAGAATTATACTTAGGATTTTCATCACGAACTGTTTATTTTTTATTTATTTAAACACATAAATATTGGTACAAGGAAGCACCAGATAAATATGCGCCTCATTCGATATGTGTGAGGGCTGTGGTGCTGACCAGGTGCCCAGACTGAAGCAGGTGGTTTTCTTAGGGGACCACACCCCAAGCCTTTGACCTAAAGGTCTAGTCCACAAGGCAGTGGAGCATCGTGAGGAGATGCAGTCCCATGGTAGCCGGTCATCAATGATTGATTCATACGCCATTTGTTCTCTCAGGATACTGGAGCCCATGTGCACCATTGGTTTGGAATGAGGGTTTTCCAACTCTTCTAGGTGGATTTTCCGTATCCACGAACACGGTTAAAGTGCCGGACATTCGCTTTTCATCCTCTTACTTTTGTGAACAACACCCCCGCCACTGTGAGAAGGCAGTGAGTAGGACTTCATTGACAAAGGCTATATATTCACGTGGCCATATGAGAGCATTTCGAGAGGGAGAGCAGACTCTCCCCACTCTCAGCCGTACCAGGGCATTTGGGGGCATCAGCTATAATGCCGAAACATTATTTATCCAAATGAATGAGTTGATTTCGTGACACAAATTCCGAGACTTATTATCTTATACCTGATTGGTTCATCCATAAGTTATAGTCTTGCCATAATTTAAAGTATCTGACACGATACTGTTGTGTAAGAGGTTTTTTAAGAATACGAATATGAAATTCTAACCAAATGAAATAGTTATCTTGTTACATAAAATTAACAAATCAAATTGAATAATAATGATGCATAAATATCTTCAATGTACTACTACATAATATAAACAGAGACTTCAGTAAATTTATTTGATACCTATACATTCAATTGAACTGACCACAGACAGATATATTCAACTACAGTAAGCATAAGAGAATATCTTACATTGTATAATTAATTACATTTACTAACTGCTTTTTACTTGTACGAACAAATTATTATACTTGTGTAATCTACTTCTTAATTGAAGGGTTAGATAATTGAGTTAATCATCACCAAACGCTCTCACGTGTATATAGCCTATGACAGGGAAGTCCTACTCATTGCCTTCTCGCGCCACGGGTGTTGTTTACGAAAGTGAGAGGACGAAAAGCAAATGTCCGGTGCTTTAACCGGGTTCGTGGACATGGAAAGTCCACCTAGGGGAGTTGGAGAACCCTGATTCCAAACCAATGGTGAACATGGGCTCCAGTATCCTGAAGGAACAAATGGCGTATGAACCAATCGTTGCTCACCAGCTACCATAGGATTGCGTCTCCTTACGATGCTCTACTGCCTTGTGGACTAGACCTTTAGGTCAAAGGCTCGGGGTGTAGCCCCCTAAGAAAACCACCTGCTTCAGTCTACGCACCTGGGAAGTATCACAGCCCTCACACAAATCAAATGAGATTTGTGTGGAGCACATGTATCTGGTGCCTGTTTGTATCAATATTTATGTGTTTAAATAAATAACTGATAGTATCATGGATAATCCCATTTCCCATCATAAGAGATACACCTGATAATCAACCTTTAAATTTGTAACTGTTTATTATATTCACGGATTTATGCGATTGTAAATGATCTTGTTTAACATTCAATAAAATCTTAGTAGGTTCAAATCAAATTAGATCACTCATACCGAAACTCTTACAAAACTTTCTATGGGTAGCCCTTTCAATGAAAACTTAACCATCATGTTGATTCTTTAATTAGCCTTTAAGAAAAAAGAAGGTAAACACAATTGAAAAACAATGTATTTTAACAATAATATGTACACATACATTAGGTGTTATTCAGTTATAACAAGAGGTCGCATCATTCAAATATGAAGTTCTTCTCTATTTTGTTGTTTTTCTACTTGTGTACTCATCATGTCAATTGCATTATCATCTTCATTTTCTTCGTCAATATCTTCATTTACGAGTTGTTGGCTTTTAGATTTATCATCAAGAGAATAATATTGAGAAATATCTAAAATAAAGCGTTCACCAGTCGGTGGACAATGAATTTCACCTGATTGGATGAAATCATCTGTAGAAGGAATGTTTTCCGCAAAAAAAGAACACATACAGTAATGATATTAATCTTTTACAGAAACACAAGTGAAATATGTATATGTATACATATTTACAAAATTAGGATAGTATCATTTGCATAGGATTTGTAATTTGAATCGATCACTATACACAAGCAGTTATGCACACGAATATTACAAAGAATGTGTCAGACGCTTGAATGCCTAAAAGCGGGATAATAGTCAGTCAGTCAGTCACAACGTAGAACTTTGTACGTACGTACGTACATCAGTTCGAGTTGCCATACCACATTAGCACAGACATGCAGTTGTCGATTCAAATCCCATAGTGGTAGAAGTAGTACGAGTATAAGCAGTAATGTGAAAGATTAGCGTTTAAAGATGTTATCCAAGGAGTATAATCCAGTGAAATAAATTTGGAACAAGAAAAAAGATAGAGACATGAAGAATTCAGATTAGAATTTGGTAGAACACAAAGAGTGGATGCACCTTCGCCATTGTAAACGATTTATGGGCCATGTCATTCAAGGTCTCTAACCATCGATTGCTATCATCTCGCAGATCCCAACCAGGTAGTCTACACCTACAAGCATGGCTCAGTCCACTTGTCAGTAACTTTACGGATTTGTGCCACGTTTTGGTCTGGCTGCCCCTAGCTTCCTTCCAATCAACTCCCACACCATAAAACATTGCATGTCGAGGCAGTCGGTGGTTGGGCATACGTAACACGTGTCCCAGTCACCTCAACTGACGAAGTTCACTACTTCATCATAATTCATTTAAGAAGTTAGAGGTTGTTGTATTTCATAACTTTAAGGCATCATTCGATTCCATTGACCGAGAGGTTTATTGACAATGTTTATGATTGAAAGGAGTATCAAAGAAATACATAAACACTATATAGACTATTTTACTTGAAAATTACTAATTAGGTTGGAGTTAATACTGAATTGTCACCGGAATCGTCAATTTTCAATGATGTTCACAGGTAGACAAAGACTACTTGATCGAAGTGTGAGCAACAACCGAGACCAGTAGAGTCAAGAATTATGCATCATGGCTTAGAATCAGTCACAACGATACAGATGCATTTACTCCTTATCTTACTTTAGATCTTGAATCCCAGTATTCCTACACGTCCAGATTTTTATTCCATCTTCTCCAACCATGTTCTCCTTGTTTAGTCTTTTTTTCATTATCACTACTTCAATTCCTTGGTTATTCATTTTGTCATGTGGTATGGCGACTGAGCTCAACACACGTTTGTGCCAGGTATTACATTGATTATAACTGATTGGCTGACAGTTTATAGATGTTTATAAGAGGCTATGTAGATCCAGATAACAATATGTAAATGATCACTCAAAATAGCTCATCTACACTTGCATCTCACACACTATATTATGTAGCCATGACATATGATACAATTTGCTTGATTGGATTCGGGATGTATCCACGAGGTTCTGATGTTAAACGCTGATGTGAAACTGTTGTCAAATACATCTCTAAGGTATCTGAGAGGTTAAATGGCTAACATACTGAATTCTAACGATCTTTTCAGGTTAATTATATGGATTGATAACAAATTGTTCATCTTGAATCTTATAATGGGAATAGAGAGTTTAGTTAGAATAAAAAATCAAAAGGTAATGTTTAATTCATTGCATTGATTTCATGCTGTGGAATAAGTTTTGAAGTAGTCAATCACAAGGCAAACTAGAAAGTAGAACGTATGTGCAGTGGTTCAAGCTACTACATCGCATATCCTGGAGTTAGACATAATCCCATATGACTGGTCACAATCATTGATTGTCCCAATATATAAGAAAACGTCAAAATCCTCCTGTGATAGCCATAGAGTGATTAGTTTGACTAATATAGCACCTAAAATACTAGCCTCAATGATTACCAGGCACCTAACTAAGACTCGTGAACTGCAAACACGAGAAAATCAGGCTGGCTTCAAACCTTGTCGTGGTTGTATCGACCACATATTCACTATTCGTCAGGTTTTGCCTGAACACCGATTACCATGACGCGCAATGCTGACTAGTATTGAGGATGATTGGAAGAGAGTTAGGGGTGGCCAAACCAAGACGTGGCATCAGATCTTGAAGTCACCAACTTCTAGTCTGAGCCATGTTGGTAGATGCAGACTACTTGGTTGGGGTCCGCGTGACTATCGTAATCAATGGTTGGTGACATGGCTCAGAATCGATCACAATGGCGTAGATGTATACACTCTTTATCTTTCCTTAAACCTTGAGATTAAAATTGCTTCATATCTGTCTTTCTTCCCGTACTATATCCTTATATACAACCTTTCTTTTATACATTACCACCAATAAATTAACTACTTCTATGAATTCGGTGTTTATCTTGTTGTGCTAATAAGGTATGGCAATTTGGACCGATGCATAAATGTGCTTGGTCCTACGTTGTAGCTGACTTACTGACTGATCACTTATAATTCAACGTCTTTAACCATTGGTTACAATAATAGCGCAAAGCCCAACCAGATAGTTTAACTCTGTTTAATTATCAATGATTTCATGGACTGATGCCACATTTTGCTTTACTCGCCTCTAGCCTTCCTTCAACCTACTTTTACACCAGCAAACATAGCATATGGAAGTAGGCAGTGGTTGAGGATACGTAATATATATACCAACCATTTCAGTCGATGAAGGTTCATTACTTACTTCATTAGCCGGAGAAATCCTAAACTAGGCCAAAATAGATGTTTAGTATTTACCAACGTTCATTATCTTTAATAAGTAATAACATCATGAAATCTATCAAATGACTAACCAAGCTAGACATTAGGATATGAGAAATATGCACAATACAGATAAATCTCTTGTTGACGAATCCCAACTAATACGCAATATTATAGTTGAAATCATGAGTCAGTTGAAGCTAGAACACCATGGAAAACCTGGATGTACCGGACGACTGTTTCGTCCTATTGTGAGACTCCTCAATATGAAATACCTATAAATTCTATAAACTATAAAAATAATTAAATATATCTTTTTACATTGAATAGAAAACATTAAATAAAACAATCAAGTCTATTCATTACTTACTTATAATTCTAGATGACTTTTGTGATTCAATACATTCCAAATAACTACGTAAATTCTCTTCTAATCGATTAAAATCCCATGAGAGCTAGAATAATTAATGTAAGATTTTTAAAAAGTAAACTGTTGATATTCAAAGAGAAGAAATACATAAAACAATGAAACTCAGTACTCAGAATGTGTAACAGCGAAAAAACATAAATCTTTCTGTAAACTCCACGAGAATGTGGAGCATTGTGAGGAGATGCAGTCCCATCGTAGCCAGTGACAAATAATTGATTCATATGCCATTTGTTCTCTTAGGATACTGGAATCAGCCCATGTTCACCATTGGTTTGGAATAAGGGTTTTCCAACTCTTCTAGGTGGATTTTCCGTATCCACGATCACGGTTAAATCGTCGGACATTCGCTTTTCGTCCTCTCAATTTCGTAAACAACACCCGTGGTGAGAGAAGGCAGTGAGTAGGAATTCACTGGCATGGGCTATATACACATGGTTATGTAGTGCCGTGCTTCGATAATAGTTCACTTCGATAACCGTTATTATACCTATCTTAACGGTGTATAAAATCAGAAGGCATAAGGAAGCGGCAACTACATTTTTATTGATAAATGATGTAGACCAGAAAGTTGTAAGCACATGAGCAAATGTAAGCGAGCGAAGCAAAGATGATGCATAGTGGAGCTGGCTGGGAAGCCAACTCGATTTAAGCAAGCGTTAATCAACATTTATAGTCAGACAAAAATGAGTGACAGACATATGATGAATAAGATACGAAGTGTGAAAACATATATGCTCATATAAGAGTGTAGTCAAGGTTTATAAGCGAAATGATTAACAAGATCAAAATATGACTCATAATGGATAGGCGAATTGGCTTGGCCAGCAACAAGAATAAAGTATATGGGCTTAACATATAAACTGATACTACAGTCATGTGAGATCATTTGGAGAGGGAGAGCAGACTCTCCCCACTCTCAGCCGTACCAGGACAATTGGGGGCTAATAATTACGCGAACTAAACTTTAACAGTTGTTAGTGGATGTTAGAAAAGTACACAAGAGATTTTCTAAACTTAAAGTTCCTCATTTTGATTCCAGATACGGTTGTGGGTGCCTAGTGCCTAGGTGCCTTGCATTACGATGAAACACCTGTGTAGTGCACTCTGGATTTTAATGGTATTTCATGGTACATTCATGAAATAAAAAGTGTAGAACATTGAAACTTTGGATGGATAGAAAAAAAAAAGAGAAAAACGATCTATTACACAACATGCTATAACTAATATTGAACCAAATCATCTAAGGATTTTTTCTAATAGACCAGAACCAACATGGTTCATATTATGAGTCAGTGAAATCCATAGATTGATCACATTAACTTCGTTTGGCTGCCCCTGTCTTTTTTTTCAGCCTACTCACTACATCAAAGTTAACATTATGTATAGACACAGGCTGATATTAGGAAAATGTTACACATATTTTAACTACATCTGTTAATGAAGATTCATAACTTCATTAAAATTAAAATCCATGCAATAGCACACATCCTCGGCTGGTGTTGATCTCACATAATATGACATCCTAAGGAATTGTTATGTGAGTTTACAAAAGTAGTTTTTAATAATAATAATAATAATATTAGTGATAATAGTAATGTTATTATGAAGTAGGTTAATACCTGACCCAAAATTATATCCAGTAATCCGATTTCAGGAACTCCATCAATAGAGGTTGATTCCAGTTGAGTACTACGCGAATTAATTGAAATCAGTTTCATTACATCATCACCTAATCTACCTATATACATACATATACATGAAAAAAAAGATTTTTCTTTTAATAAGCAAGTCAACTTATTGGATGCTTGACGACAAACAAAAACTTTTCTTGATTGAAAATGGTAACTGCATAAATCAAAAATGAAGTGAGGTTGGAAATTGAGGACTAGTGAGTGAAAGTTAGACACCTTAACTAATGGATCACTGGTGTTAAAATTTATTGTGCCAAACAGGTTGCCGTGGTGATCAGTCAGTGATCTCGTGTGCTGTTAGGAGTATGAGGGTAAATGTCACTGCCTGGTCGCCCATATTGCAGAGGAATGCATCCTCTTGAGTTACCTTGAAAAGGAAACTGAATTAGTTGTGATCTTGATGACTTAACAGAGTGACTACTAAGCCGAAGAGACAACTGCGCGATGCAGGTCACACATGAACTTTCAAGAGCGGTTCATGATACGTTATATCCTTACTTTAAAAGTCTAAATACAGGCGACGGATATCTGTGAGCCAAGATGAGATGTGAAAACGCTGACATCTTCTGACCCATTGATTCCATTGTGACAAGGTAGTGTTGTTACAGATGCTGATTATATGAGGAAAATGTCGTACTGCTGTCACATCGTTGTACAGTCAGCAATAAGACTTCGTTTCTGGACCTAATGTTTAGTGCTTTTAGCATTGACGCTATTCAATCAACCTGTCAGGCATGGTTGGGGCCAAACATACAAATATTCCAACCAATACAACTTGATAGGCTCATCATGATAGGTCAGCCCCACTACCTCGTAAGTCAAGGTGGCAGCTACAGTTGGGATACTACGGTGCAGGATACCTCAACAACGTAAATTTATGTCGAAATCTTTTCACCCAATATTCACTTATTTATCATCGTTAAGTTAACGTTCACTCAACAAGCAATTTTCACGTACTACAGTTAAGAAGAAAAGCTAGTACAACTATCGGTATCTCAGTTCAAATCTAATCAACAAACTCATACACCGTTTTTAGAGGATGTTCATTCCTTTTCTAAAATATTGATGCAAAATCAACATATCACTGGTGATAATGATTCGTAGTATGATAAATATATTGGCCATAATAAAACAGGTATAGCACAGCTTGCAACTGACCGACCAATTCAATGCATTCTGCGTGCTATGAGTGAGAAGGTAGTCATCGTAGAGTGAAGAAATAAGCAGGATTTGACGAGTACGTGAAATGAACGAGCGAATGTTTGATACTATGGAGTAAAGTGTAGAATTAAAGTGGGATTGACGTGAACTGATTGGCTGACTGGACGAAAGGACAGATGGAGGTGGAAACAGCTGTGATGCGTGTATTATATTGGGATAATGACTGGATTGATTGTATTACGGTTGAGGACAGTGTGAATGAGTGCATTGTGTGTGAGGAAGGATAGAGAGAATGAGAGAGCAATGAGGAGGGAGCCGCTATTTGCCAGGTTGACGCTGAGCTACTGTGGTAGCAGGCGACTGGATAGGGCTTGTGAACTCCCCCACCCCGTCGACATGGGTGGGCCCAGTCCACCAGTTACCTACCAACAACCTCACCTCTGATGGCCAAACGCGCTACCTACTGAGCCCACAACTATGTTGGCCGGACCCCACATACATACTAACATATACTGCTCATCACCAACTCACATCTCACATACACCCAACACAACCAATAAGACAACCGAGATTCGGAACCACTTTAAGCTAACTTATGGTGCCGAGATGCTTAGAAATTGTATTGCAGAGGGATTTGCTTCTAATTACGTAAAGACTTCGTAGAATACTGCGCTAGACTTTTCTTTCGGCCTTACCAATCTAACTGCCTTGGAAATACACCTAAACTTATACAAACAGTTGGAAATAATTTCATTAAAATCATGAACCGATCAATGCTAAACCACCACTGTAATAGCACTAAATGACCCTCCAGTGCTTTCAGGTTCTCAAGGGTGGTTTGACATTGATCGATTCATGATTCCAATGAAATTCAACAATCTCAACACTATTATCATGCTGAAAAATGGAAGTAAGATAAGAAAGATACTCATCAATATTCGAATGCTCAAAGAAGTATATTGTTATTCACACTACGACTAGTTTGGCTGAAATATACGCCCTCGTTAACGACGCCAATGTTTAGCCTTCTTTTAACTGTCAATGGAGAATTATACCTTCGACAACTTGTCATTCTTGTTCTGTGGTTTAACTAAACCCACAGATTAGTTGAGTAAAGTGAAAATTCCCATTTTGACATTTGTTAATTAAAAAGGAACGAATCGAGCGAAGAAATTTCTTTTCAATTAGTTTTTCATCATGGCTCTACACTAATATATATATGATTTACAATAATTAAATAACACTCATGGAGTAGATACGTTACGTAATGATTATATAATGACATCGATTATAAACTAACATTAATTGGAAGAGAAGGATTAATACTAATCAAAGTTATTATTCGAAAATCAAGCTGTTGCTACGTTGCATAATATATAAAAAAAGAGAAGTAAGAACTAACAAAATATTTTGATGAATGGTCAGTAATATAGTAGTTATGTAAGAATCAAGAGACGAATGAAGAGAATAAGTAAAATACAAAAAATGGAAGGAATAAGATAATTGTTTACCGAAATTATGCTACAAACTCCGATATACTGATGGCCAAGGTAGCGAGAGTGGTTGTACAAACTTCTTTTGGATACAAAGGTTCGGTTTGTGGAAATTGTTAGATCGGCTTACAATAAACTCTATCAGAGCCTCCAGAGAGGCTCATAAAGAGACCAACTAATCAGCGATTAGTTAGAAGCTATGCTACTAAAATAACAAGATCCTGATTGGCTGTTAACATACTGTTACTATGGGATCTCAAGGTCTTTTAGCTACTATAAAACCCCTGTTTTTCTGTACATAATTGAACCTTGCAGTAAAGTGCTTCTCTGATACTCGTGTCTTCTCTCTGGTCTTCAAAGTCGCTGAGTAGTGCTAGCCTGGGGTTATCCGAATAGCTAGGATCCGAATAAAACGTTCAACTTACGAGTCATAACAATTGGCGACGGGGATTTCGGTAAAGAAAAAAAGTACAAGAATTGGGACGTGATTTTGGCAACAAAAATACAGCAGTCGGTAACGTATTTTGGAATTAAATAAGCTGTAATAATTGCCGGCGGTTTTTTTGGAGTTATTATTATTATTAGCAGTAAAAAAAATGACGATTTCTCTGGATCAGTTGCAGATAATATTAGATCACCAGAATCAGCAGATGTTAAGCTTCCAGCAGAAACTATTTGAAACATTTTTGGACAAATTTTTCACTAAACGAAACGTCTCAGGAAATAAAGAATTTATTTATAATGCAGATAATGGTGCGGAAATGGCCGTCTCAGAGGAACGCCAAGTTGAGGGTTCAATTCCCTTTATATCTGACGGAAAATGCAAAATTGGTAAGTTGGCCGGTTCAGAGCAAGACAATATCTTGCCTAATGCACATGAAACTGTGACAGTATCAGATGAGCAAGAAAAAGAAGGTTCCGCAGACAACCCCAGGAGTCCAGAATCAAATGAAACACCATTAAGTCCGCCCATATCTGAAGACAAACTTAAGTCAGAACAGAACTACAGTTTGCGTGATGTTGGCCAAGAAAACTGGAAGAACGCATGTCCAGAAAATAACTGGAACAGTACAGTTAACCAAATTGCGCCAAATGTGATTCGAAATCATGGGGAGACAGAAGCCTATAATATGGGTTCGCGTAATGATGCCCATAATTCTGATGAAATTTCATATAAAGAAAACTAAGTCGGTCGAATCAGATGGTGATCAAAAATCTAATGCGAATTTATTAGATGCCGATTCTCCTAGTCATCTAATATCCTCTAGTGAAAATTTTAATGAATTTGATGGAGATATTTCAGAAAAGCTGAATTCCGATAACCTAAAATCAAATATCGTTCATCATCATCTATTCATTTCTAGTAGATTCTGCGTTCAATACGAGAATTATGTCATACTTATTGTATTTTGGAGATATGAAGATCCAACATTATTTCGTGGGGGAGGAAATGTTGGAGAATTTCAACTTACAGATAATTTTTTTAAAAATCAGAATCTAATTTTCGAATCTTCAAAAAAAGGGAGGTGTTAGATCGGCTTACAATAAACTCTATCAGAGCCTCCAGAGAGGCTCATAAAGAGACCAACTAATCAGCGATTAGTTAGAAGCTATGCTACTAAAATAACAAGGTCCTGATTGGCTGTTAACATACTGTTACTATGGGATCTCAAGGTCTTTTAGCTACTATAAAACCCCTGTTTTTCTGTACATAATTGAACCTTGCAGTAAAGTGCTTCTCTGATACTCGTGTCTTCTCTCTGGTCTTCCAAGTCGCTGAGTAGTGCTAGCCTGGGGTTATCCGAATAGCTAGGATCCGAATAAAACGTTCAACTTACGAGTCATAACAGATATGAATTGCGATGGCTTCAGCTATGTGCAATAGACGAGCTCGTAAACCATGTGGCAAATTTGATGGAATATGGTAGATAACCTTAAAAGCTTTATTCAGTTCAACATGATGACCTGTGTCAACCAAGTGAGCGAGAATAGAACTCTTAATCCCCTTTTTCTGTCCTTTAGTCAACCATGACGGATGGTGTTCTGTTATTCGTTGACGAACTTGCCGAATTGTACGCCCTATATAACTGGCTCCACAGGAGCAGTTGAATTGGTAAATACACATAGATGTGGCGAATTCAGGCAATCTGTCTTTACTAACAGTTCTTATTGTGGGGCGGTTGTAGAAGACGGTACTAAGTCGGGCGGCATTAAATGTTTTCTGTACTGCCCTTCTTAACCTCTGTGTCAAGATTTCTTCAGTAGCATCATTTAAGAATTGTAGCTTTAGGAACAGTACCTTCTTCGGAACAGTAGGTACCTTTGTCCTTCTTTTCGTCTCCGTCATGTGTTTGTCGATCAATTTCATTGGATACCCATTCTTACTAAGCAGGTTTCGAATATTAGCCAATTCATCTAAAATAATGTCATCAGAGCAAATCATTCTAGCACGATGAGTAAGGATCTTTATTAGGTTTCTTTTGTATTATAGAAATGAGTGTACTGTCCAACTGTAGATTTTCTATGTAATCCCCTTTTTAATGTTCCGTCTATTCTTCTGGATAGTTGGACATCTAAAGTTACAATTCTTAAATGATGCTACTGAAGAAATCTTGACACAGAGGTTAAGAAGGGCAGTACAGAAAACATTTAATGCCGCCCGACTTAGTACCGTCTTCTACAACCGCCCCACAATAAGAACTGTTAGTAAAGACAGATTGCCTGAATTCGCCACATCTATGTGTATTTACCAATTCAACTGCTCCTGTGGAGCCAGTTATATAGGGCGTACAATTCGGCAAGTTCGTCAACGAATAACAGAACACCATCCGTCATGGTTGACTAAAGGACAGAAAAAGGGGATTAAGAGTTCTATTCTCGCTCACTTGGTTGACACAGGTCATCATGTTGAACTGAATAAAGCTTTTAAGGTTATCTACCATATTCCATCAAATTTGCCACATGGTTTACGAGCTCGTCTATTGCACATAGCTGAAGCCATCGCAATTCATATCTGTTATGACTCGTAAGTTGAACGTTTTATTCGGATCCTAGCTATTCGGATAACCCCAGGCTAGCACTACTCAGCGACTTGGAAGACCAGAGAGAAGACACGAGTATCAGAGAAGCACTTTACTGCAAGGTTCAATTATGTACAGAAAAACAGGGGTTTTATAGTAGCTAAAAGACCTTGAGATCCCATAGTAACAGTATGTTAACAGCCAATCAGGACCTTGTTATTTTAGTAGCATAGCTTCTAACTAATCGCTGATTAGTTGGTCTCTTTATGAGCCTCTCTGGAGGCTCTGATAGAGTTTATTGTAAGCCGATCTAACACCTCCCTTTTTTTGAAGATTCGAAAATTAGATTCTGATTTTTAAAAAAATTATCTGTAAGTTGAAATTCTCCAACATTTCCTCCCCCACGAAATAATGTTGGATCTTCATATCTCCAAAATACAATAAGTATGACATAATTCTCGTATTGAACGCAGAATCTACTAGAAATGAATAGATGATGATGAACGATATTTGATTTTAGGTTATCGGAATTCAGCTTTTCTGAAATATCTCCATCAAATTCATTAAAATTTTCACTAGAGGATATTAGATGACTAGGAGAATCGGCATCTAATAAATTCGCATTAGATTTTTGATCACCATCTGATTCGACCGACTTAGTTTTCTTTATATGAAATTTCATCAGAATTATGGGCATCATTACGCGAACCCATATTATAGGCTTCTGTCTCCCCATGATTTCGAATCACATTTGGCGCAATTTGGTTAACTGTACTGTTCCAGTTATTTTCTGGACATGCGTTCTTCCAGTTTTCTTGGCCAACATCACGCAAACTGTAGTTCTGTTCTGACTTAAGTTTGTCTTCAGATATGGGCGGACTTAATGGTGTTTCATTTGATTCTGGACTCCTGGGGTTGTCTGCGGAACCTTCTTTTTCTTGCTCATCTGATACTGTCACAGTTTCATGTGCATTAGGCAAGATATTGTCTTGCTCTGAACCGGCCAACTTACCAATTTTGCATTTTCCGTCAGATATAAAGGGAATTGAACCCTCAACTTGGCGTTCCTCTGAGACGGCCATTTCCGCACCATTATCTGCATTATAAATAAATTCTTTATTTCCTGAGACGTTTCGTTTAGTGAAAAATTTGTCCAAAAATGTTTCAAATAGTTTCTGCTGGAAGCTTAACATCTGCTGATTCTGGTGATCTAATATTATCTGCAACTGATCCAGAGAAATCGTCATTTTTTTTACTGCTAATAATAATAATAACTCCAAAAAAACCGCCGGCAATTATTACAGCTTATTTAATTCCAAAATACGTTACCGACTGCTGTATTTTTGTTGCCAAAATCACGTCCCAATTCTTGTACTTTTTTTCTTTACCGAAATCCCCGTCGCCAATTGTTATGACTCGTAAGTTGAACGTTTTATTCGGATCCTAGCTATTCGGATAACCCCAGGCTAGCACTACTCAGCGACTTTGAAGACCAGAGAGAAGACACGAGTATCAGAGAAGCACTTTACTGCAAGGTTCAATTATGTACAGAAAAACAGGGGTTTTATAGTAGCTAAAAGACCTTGAGATCCCATAGTAACAGTATGTTAACAGCCAATCAGGATCTTGTTATTTTAGTAGCATAGCTTCTAACTAATCGCTGATTAGTTGGTCTCTTTATGAGCCTCTCTGGAGGCTCTGATAGAGTTTATTGTAAGCCGATCTAACAATTTCCACAAACCGAACCTTTGTATCCAAAAGAAGTTTGTACAACCACTCTCGCTACCTTGGCCATCAGTATATCGGAGTTTGTAGCATAATTTCGGTAAACAATTATCTTATTCCTTCCATTTTTTGTATTTTACTTATTCTCTTCATTCGTCTCTTGATTCTTACATAACTACTATATTACTGACCATTCATCAAAATATTTTGTTAGTTCTTACTTCTCTTTTTTTATATATTATGCAACGTAGCAACAGCTTGATTTTCGAATAATAACTTTGATTAGTATTAATCCTTCTCTTCCAATTAATGTTAGTTTATAATCGATGTCATTATATAATCATTACGTAACGTATCTACTCCATGAGTGTTATTTAATTATTGTAAATCATAAATGCATATTAGTGTAGAGCCATGATGAAAAACTAATTGAGTAAAGTCGATCGATAAGTTTTTCCCTCAATAGTTACCTATTTTTGATTGATAAAATGTAATTAATAATCGATCACAATAATGGTAATAGCTCTTTATTTTGTTTGTAAATATAACACCCTCAATCCTTTGCCATCTTCATTCCTTTTGTTTATTAACTATACTACTTATTAATATTCAGTAACCCAGACAATTGTTATTCATTTTTGAACACAGGACGCATCTCTGTTGTTGGGTAAGAGTGTACTCTGTACTGACAACCTTGAAGTAAGTTATCAGACAATCAGGAAACAGTGTTTATTTATGAAACATCGGTGATTAGCGATAAAATCACAATGGAATAATACCTTTGACCTAATTAATCTAATTATTCTTTACAGCAAAGGAAAAAAAGTTAAGTTGGGTTAGTGTAATGGAGTTGGGATTTGGTTGGATAATGGATATTACTTATCGATTCCAAGCATTTTTACGAATTAAATGTTGCCAATTTTCACTATATTCATCGAAAAATAGAAGTTATCCCTCAATGAGCTGATACAGACCTATCAAGAGGCTTGATAATACAATACAACAAACACTGGCAACTGTTTAAGCACATCATAGATTAAATTGTCACAAGAAAGATGAAAACTGTTACCATTTTTTATTGTTGGGAGTCTTTCTCTTAAAATATGTCGTAATTTTGTCACCTGAATTTCCCAACTTTGATGGGCGACAACAGTATCGTATTCATTCCAATGGTAATGACCTTGACTTATACGTTGGATAAGTGATGACCCACCAGCATCATAAGCGCCAGCAGTTATATATGCTTCATGATCATCTGAATCCTGATAGTAAAAGTAACAGTAATAGTAATAATAAAAGATATGCGCCATATAAATGATACAATTTATGTGAGGGCTGAGATAATGCCCGAGCACCCATACCGAAGCACGTAGTTTCCTTAGGGGGTCACACCCCGAGCCTTTCATCTAGAGGTCTAATCCGCAACGTTATGAGATGCAGTCCCATGGTAGCCGGTCACCAACAATAGGTTCATACACCATTCGTTCCCTCAGGATCCTGTAAACCATGTTCATCACTGGTTTGGAACCAGGGTTTTCTAACTCACCTAGGTGGATCTTCCATATCCACCAACCTGGTTAAATTGTTGGATATTCGCTTTTCATCCTCTTAATTTCGTAAACAACACCCCTGACGAGAGAAGGCAGTGAATAGGACTTCCCTAGAATTGGCTGTATACGCGTGGCCATGTGACAGCCTATCGAGAGAAAGAGCTAACTCTCCCTACCCTCGGCCGTACCAGGACATTTAGGGGCTCTATTCGAGATCAAAGACAAGACTTTTACTAGCTGAAAGAATACATCATCTAACAAATAAACGATTGGAGAGCAAGTCAACCATAATTAATTTACTCTCCAATTAAATTAACACCTAACGACCAAACTTAGTTCATGCTCCCTCCCAGGTTTATATCAACACAAAACAGAATAAGTTACTTTCATATGTGAGTTTCTCCTTTAACGTACTTGACATATAGCTAATACTCGATGAGCAGGCATAAAATCCAATAAATTCGGTAGAACGAGGTTACCATGAAATTTCGGAATGAATCTTGTCTTTTTCTTCGTACACATATTGAGCGTAACCTGTGTTTATGAACCCCATGAAATACAAAAAACAATACAATCATAAGATTTATAATTTTAAACGGGGAAAGCTTATTGAGTTGCTACTGTATAATAAGGAAGTAATGTAACTTAGTTGTCAAAAGTAGGGGTTTTCTTACGTGTAGTCAACTTTGAATTATGACATTTACACATGATCGCATTTAGAGTGATATGAACTGATTGCTTAAACGCTAATGTAGGTGGAATGTATACTCGCACCTGCCTACTAAAACTGATGTTGATGATTTATTTGATTTAAGCACTTATCTACCATCATAGTATGAATAATGAGAATACAAATACAACTATATTAAAGGTTTACATATATTTTTAAATTGGGTACGCATTTTATACTCATTCGGGATGTTTTAGCAGCATACCAACCTACAAAATTCACAAAAGATACTGATTATAGAGAGTGAATTCAAGAAAATCAAAAAAACATAGTTCATTCTCAAAATCAATTGAGAAAGTGATGATATTCCAGGATACACCTGCCTCGAATTCCAATGATTATTATTGTGAGAACAATGACGAAGTATATAAATGACCAATAAATAAGCGAACGATTCTTATAAGGTTGTTCGTGAAACTAAGGAAAAACGGTCAGGGAATTCATGAAATGTTTACGTTTGTATGCGCACATAACATGCAAAATAAAACGACTCTCTTCAAGTAAAACTTTGTCAAGGAGACCTAACTGACTAACTTCACGTGATAAATTATTTTTCAAATAGGGAATGGGAGAGAACCATGATTATTATAAACATATTTAGCATGCATTAACCCATCCATTTATTGTGTTTCCATGGTCTATGACTATTATTACTTCCTACTTATAATAATAATCCAACTAACAGCTTTCTTGACATTAAAAGCTCTAGTTTGTATAACATTTTTAAATCCTGAGTAGTCTCATAAGCACTGGGGGTCTGGTGTCTAGCGTAATCTTTGCACATATTCGCCTAGGTGAGATGTCCATATGTAAAACGAAGAATCCGTTTACTGTACAGCAGCCCGCTCCATTCGACTCTATGAGTATGAGACAGCCATTCAAAATAGATGAAATTAATAGTTTATCAGTGTGTGATCATAGGTGCCTTCAAAACATTGCTCGTGTATTTCGGGAACATGGAGTAAGCAATGCCGGGGTTAGGCACAGAGTACTTACTAGGCGAATATGGTAAATCAGTTGATGATGTAGTAAATCTTCATTAACTGGGGTGGTTAGAACGTTTGTTAAGGCTTTCAAACTGCCGCCTGCATCGACAAGCGATGTTGTCCGGTGTAGGAGTAGGCTGAAAGAAAGCTAAGGGCGGCCAAACCAAGAAGAGACATCAACCCATGCAATCAGTGACTGCTGAACTGACCCATGTTAATAGGTACAGACTACGTGTTTGGTGTCCACGCTATGATCATTTGGTGATGTGACTCAGAATTGTTAGCAATGAAACAGATACATTAACTCTTTGTCTACCTATACATTTGGGCTAATCCAAACAATATTAATAGGAGGGATGGAATACAATTAGCAGTGCCATGGCAGCTAATCATTAATAAGTAACAACCTGAACTCCTTAATGTTTTTATCGAATTCGTATTATCTAAAATGACAACAATTACACTCAATGATTCTAATCTATTGTCTTATCGGAATTGTTAAACAATTCACTGGAACATTAAAAATGACACATACATACAGTCAAAATTACGCTCTTCAAATTTCACCTATTATTTTTATTTGTTTAATTATCTTCATGTTATACATACAGGGACAGATATGATTCATATCACATATATTACAAATTGTATGTTTCCTTATAAATTCACTGATAAGAGACAATATATGAATGTGAATGTAATTTTTATCCTCTCATCTCTTACGTTTTCTATACAATTATGTTATATGAACACTCTTCACTACACATCACATATCTCTTAAACATACCTAGTTTAGACTATTGTTAACGTTGATTGGATGACCTATTCAGTGTATAATGAACTCGGAGAACCATGTACCTATTTATATTTGATAATTTTGATGTTTGATTATAATTCCTTGAAAAAGCTTGGACCAGATTGCCAGGCGAAACGTTGGATTTAATTTAAAAATTCATTCGCTGAGATTTTACAAATATATTATTCCTATTTAATGTCTTACTTCAACTCGGCGCTCAAATACTGTGAAACTATTCGTTCTAATTTAGACGAGAGTTCTTATACCTTAGATTCCGAGTTGTGAAATTTTCTCACACTTCTTTCTATAAGCAACTTTTGCTGCTATTGACACCACTACCCCTCTGGATACTGTGACTCATCTTGATAGTTTCTTCTCAGTGCTAATGTGGTGTGGCGATTTGAACTAATGCATATATAAGCCATATTCTACGTTATATATGACTGAGTAAATAAATTTCTAAAGTAGTTATTTACTGAAAAATTTGGTTCTGTAATATGGTATCATTTAACGTTACCAGTTCAATTTTGAGTAGACAATAAGTAGCTTAGCATAGAACTTTGAAGAGCTTTGCTATTGATGTATTGTTTGTTGAAGACTGAGGTGGTAACGGGTTTACTAGGAGTGGAATCTTCGAAATAATTTGGAAAATAATCGGCTTCGTATAGAATAAAACGTGACTATAAAAATACATATACCTCACACAAAGACAAAAATTGCATGTACACATATCAGGATGAAAGTGTCCTAACACTTTACAATAAAGCCATTAACGTACCTAGATTGGGAAAATATTTATATGTATGTGGAAGTTAATAAAGTATAAACCTGATATTATGATGAGAACTAATAACTCCCTTCGTATTTCACACATGCAAGATGTGTGGTGAAATAACTTGTAATGAAAAATTAGGATTCTTCACATGACATGATAACAATGAATATGTGATTACCGCAGTGTAAAGGAACGAAATCACCCTCACTAATGGCAAAGTTTGTTTCCGTATAAATTATACGAAAGATTGCAAGTCAATACTTCAGTTAATTCAAACCCCAAATACCTCTATATATGAGCTACATTTTACGTGCGAGGGTTAATGATTCTACCCGGTTTCCCAAACAGAAATTGATTGAGGGAGATTTGAACCTATGACTTAGTGATCGACAGTTGAACACCCAAATCACTGAGTCAATATTCAGGATGAACTTGATAGCAGACTTCTTATTAAATATATGGATAGACTCGATTAATATAAAATATAAACCTATATATATTTATTAGTAAGTCAGTTACAAGCAATTTTAAAATTTATTAAGGCTCAATGAAAGGAAGTTCACATTCTAAATTACACTAACATTTATAAGTGATAAACTTAATAAAGCCTGGCCTAACTACAGACTTTACTAATAAAATAAGAGATGTTGTGTGAAGAGAAGCATTTTTTCTAATGGTTTCCATGATCTTGAAGACCGGATGAGAACTGAATTTAGGTTCAAAATAGCAAGACCTAGATAGTCTAGTTGGAACATTGGATATACAAAACCAGACAGTTAGTCGGTCTTTTCGACTACACTAACTAGTTAGCATTGTAGGTGAAAATATGGTTTAGATATTGAAACCCAAGCTATAAGAATAACTTGACATATACTTAGTCCCAAGTTTTAAATAGTTTTGTAACACAAATAAGTAGTCTACGCACAATAATATTCATAGCTCTGAAAAGAATTCTGACTTAACTTAAAATACGAAAATGTTGTAGAAACGTCATACCTTAACCCGAACTGGATTATCCATACAATCATACATATCCGGGTGAGCACTTTCACGCAGTAGTTCAACAGCTTCTGACAAACTGTATTTTTTCGGCTCAAATTCAGACATTAAATAAGCATCGGAAGTTGGAATTCGACCTTTCAAAATATTTAATCTAGCCATTTCCTGCTCCCATTTCGTCCTATTTGTTTTCATCAATAGTTCACGGGCAGCATCTCGTCTACTCTTCGACTTTTCATTTACAGTTACTTTAGCCTCACGATATCTTTGCTGCTGGTTCCTGAATAATTGAGATGAAGTCGACAAATTGCGAAATGAACTGGCGACTAGAATCGGTTGAATATGTGCATGACTGTAACAAATTACTTTGCGAATTTGCATTGAACCTTTTCTAGAAAATATACAGTATTAAGGATGATAGTAATTCATAAGAAACTGTTAGCAAAAAGAGGATGTATAATTCAGTAACTCGATAATAATTTTTATTTAAAGCAGTCTAATGTTGGTGGAGTTTCGTTTTCTGTGTTATAAATCTTCACCCTTATATCAAAAGCAGCCTAATCTATTTATGTTGTGTATTGCATATATACATTAAGTAATCGATCAATTTATGCTAAGTACTGAATAGTCTAATTTATTCAAGTACTACTATTGACAGAATAAGTAAAGCAGACATGAATTTAGTCTACTTTTCAGACAGTTTTTGATTCAATAGTGGTGCATATTAGTCTTTCTTTAATTACAACAAGTAAACTAGCCCAGTGTTTTATCCTGGTTACAACAAAAACCAATCCAAATCATTAAGAGTAACCTGGAACAAAAAACTAGTAGCCGGGAAACAATAGAAGCTTTCAGGATTATGAGATTAGATGATTCCACATTATTTGATTAACGATAAATAAATTTACCGTCTTAAATTTAAGTCACATATTCATTATATATGCATACGACTAATCTGAATTTTCTCACGTTAATATTTGAAAATCATTTCATTGACAGGATGGACTAGAGAGAGTTACTTCATGGTCCGAATGGTCTTAAATAGACATCCAAACATCTTGGTTACTTCACGGAAAGCATGGAATGACAAACTTCGAATAGGCTACAAATATCCGTATCAAACAACTCTGGTGCAACTCCTCTAGTAGGTCAAATTAATAAGATCACAATGCTCCACGATGTCAGATTTAACGTCAGCTCAGACTAACCTTACATCATTATTCCACACTTAACACGTAAAAGATGCTCGCAGAGATATTCCCGAAATTTTTTCAGAGCGCTGTTTTAGTCCTCTACTCTGATAGAATTGTATTATTAATTAAATGATTTTTATCTAAGAGTACTACTATCGAAAACCAACTACACTAAACGTGAAGTTCGATCCTAAAACTGCGTGCTTCAATAGAATGCCCATTTAGCACTATCCTTTAGAAGAAACTGATAAGAGAATACTAAACTGAGAGCAATTAGAAAAGATCTTCAAATCACGGAACATAGACACAATGGAGTGAATTTATTTATTTATTGAACACATAAATATTGGTATAAATAAATACACTTCATTGTGTAGGTGAGCACCTTTGCTTCAAGACATAGTATGGTTGCCTTCACCGACAGGCACTTCATCGGTTAAAATCCCAAACTCTTCTGTTAATTTCTAGATTATTATTGTTGAGCAATAACTCCTCAGATCCTAAACAGATTAGTTTAGCTATCTAAGTCCACAGCATGAAGAATGAAATATTTTAAGTATTTGGAGCTACTGTGACATCCTTACGATACATCACTAATAACCTAGAACTTTACCTCATCAATAAAACACGAGAACGAAGAAATCGATCAGTTTAAATTAAATGAATATGGGATAACAGTAAGACCAGAGCTTACAACTTCGGGATAAGACCGATAAATTTTGGGATTCAGGGTACGTTTTGAAAAGAAATTAAATACCCTAGATTTATCCGGAACTGGAATTTTTACCCGAAATTCCTACAAAGAACAGAATTAGTAGCTTGGGTACACACTACAGACATTAAAATGGTTATTACCACAAACGACTGACTCATTTTTGTTGCTGAAAACCAAAGACACATTTTTTGACGTGCAAATATGCTGAACATAAGTGACAAGACGAATGAACAGCAGCTGAGAACGATGCTCATGTAAAGTAACGAGATTGAGGAAAAATAGGTTAGGTTCTATTTTCGGACAAATCAGAGATACTTTTAATTCATTCTATACAAGTAAAAACCAAAACTTTACTCATAAATCACTACTAAGAGCTGTGAAAGGGTAAAAAAAATTAGGGACAGCAATTCTGAAAAGGCAATACACTGTAACGAAGACGACAAATTAGCCGCTTCAGCTTTCGGTTACAAGTATAGTAGGTCGGTGGACCTATGTTAATCCTTGAAGCTTATTTTTCTGTAAAGCTTCGATTTCTCCAAGATGATCACTATGTGGCCACTGGTCACTAGATGAATCTCACACTGAGTTCGAGTGTCCAATAAAAAAAATTGATTTCAATGCATTCGCTTCTTTTTGTTTTGATAATTCTAGTGCTAAAAGATGAATTTTTCAAGAATAAATAAACAATTAACTTAGTTGGAATTGTGTATGGAGACGAAATTGAGAGATTGAAAGGGGGAAGGAGACGACACTAAGAGACACAAGAAAGAGTTACTGGTTACTCAATGGTGATGACCGTCGTAAATCATGAGTTCGTTGAACACAACTGTTCAGACAGTGAGATGGCAATACATGAGTGAGTATGTGCTTATCAAGTCTCCCCTTAATGCTACCCACTGGGAGTACTGTGGTCATCTCTTCTGGGGAAGTAATCCATACCGAGGCAACTCCTGATGAAAAGAGGTGAGAACATACCTGGATATCCGCTCTTTGATGAGCAATGTTTCGAGGATTGCCTTGTGGAACGTGGTGATGATGTTCTGGCAATATGCTTGGGTTGAGGTGGCTTAAGTATATTGTATGCCATTATCGGGCCACCTTTCACCTTCTTGCAGTTCAGACAGAGCGATTTTACGTGCTGGAGTTTGTTCTAATAAGATTTATGCTTTAGCCATATCACTCATTTGGTTTCCTGTCTCTACACTTGGTCCATGAGATCTTTTCTGAAAAGAATGAGAGGAACAACGTTATGGACTTGATATGGGGCGATGGGTACGTTTCGAATAGTATTAGGAGGATCTGGCGGCCTGCTTGAATCCCTGGGCTACCTGTTTCTGCCATCTAAATATTTCAACAAGTTATCTGGGTTTTTTAAAAATTGGTTTTAACCTATCATTATGTCTCTTGATCGCATAACCTATACAGGCGCGTTTATGAAAAGCTTACGCCCTTTCGCTGCAAAAATTACAAACAAGTACAATAAGAGACATTGTGGTGTTTGGCAATATGCTTTAGAGAGAATAAACATTAATCAAATGTCGATTCCCGAGCTGCTTAACTCTAACTGTCGATCTCTAATTAACAAGGTGGACTATCTCCAATTTCTGCTAAGTCAAAACATGTATCGTAGTTGTGGTGTCATCACAATTCAAGAATCTTGGTTGACTGACTTACAGGATGATTGCCTAGTATCATTACGTGATCTTAATATCTATCGTCAGGATCGATCAAACAATAAAAAGACCTGTGGTGGCGCAGTAGCTACTGGGTTTTTTTGTTTTGTGTTTTTTTGGTAAAAAAAACTTGTTGAAATAACTCGTGCTCAGAATTCTATATTGTACCAGATTATAATATTGAATAAAGCCATTAATTATTATTATTATTATTATTATTATTATTATCTCTGTGATGGTTGCGCCGAATAGTCTTCACATGGGATTGAGTATTGAGTTTGCTTCGGCTTCATCGTCTGTGCAACTCCAACTGGTGTCTAGATTCTCTGTGGTTGTAAGCCCGAGATAACTCTCTGAAGAGGCAATCGGTAGCAGATTTCATTGGGGGTGTAAGTGCTTAGTCAAAAAGGGCGGAATGTCCATGAAGTGACACTTCGGCAGATTAATTTTCAACCCATTGTCTACTGAATATTTCTCCATTTTTGTAAGTTCATTTTAAAGCTCAAGTGTATCCCCTTCACATTGTGTGGACCTCCAGATCTTTACATTGACTCTGTATATCAGTATCGCCGATCTACTCTTATCTAACAGGTCGTCAGTAAAGATCAAGAACTACAGTTGACCTAGGGTTGTTCTATGTGAAACTCATGACATTGAGACCTTCCAACTCGTTTAAACTCAATTTACCTTGATGTGAAACGCCCCATTCTCTAGGTAGTTTACGGGCCTATGTAACAGTAGCTCAGTGAAACCCATCTTTGCGACCTTTGCTATGAAAATAATATTAGGTACTGTTGAAAGCATGAGTCAATTGAAGCTAGACCACCATGGAAAACCTGGAAGCCCTCCAGTGGTATAGCTTCGATTGACTCATGCTTTCAACTAAGAAAATACTAAATCTCCACAAAACTCCTTCTGATAATTAGGTACTGTGTCAAAGACTTTTGCGAAATCGAAGACTGTCACATGACCCCGTATCTAATGGTGCCATGAGATCGTCTATCATTCTCATGTTATAAGGAGACGGAACACACAGGACCTGTCTCTCCTTAACTTGTGTTGGGCCTCATGGAAGATGTTGCTTTTGTCCAATTATTCTCTGATATTTTCATTTACCAGTCCTTCCATTACCTTCGACAGTATTTGGAGTGACTCCACCGGCCTGCGAAAGGTTGGGTGTGAATCTAAGGAGAGCCTGAACAGAAAACACACCGGTGTGCCTATGGCTGCCGCGAACTGTATGGGGATTATAGATCTGGTGTTGTCACATTCCGGTAAATTTTCTAGGCTCAGAGGTTTTAGTCTCTTCAATACAAACTCGGAATTTAGTTGGATATAGCCCAGACCATCAGCTTGCACTAAAGATGAGAGATGTCCAGCCCTTGACGGCTCCTGGTTTTGTTGGTCTTCGAAGTTGGAATTAAAGATTTCTGCCAACTCTAATTTAGTGAATCTGTGCTATTTGGCCCTTTGTGACCACAGATCCCTTGATTTACAACCTTTCTTTATCTGAACATGAATCCGTAGAGATATTTCAGGTTAGTTTGCATTTTGGCTGCTAGCTTGTCTCAAAAACACTTGCCGCTTCGGTTTTTGCACTGCATCTGTTTCTCAACGTCAAGTAAGACCTGCGATGAGACTCCTTTCAAGTGGCCTCACACTTGTGCCTGGCTTTCCACCTGGCCTGTAGCAAGCATTCAGTGCCTCTCATAGACCAGGATATCTTTCCAGGAGTGTACTGACTTTGATAACTCTGCACGCAGCTCCACTCGTGGCCACTGCCGGTCCCAAGCACGGATAAAGGAGGAGGGTTGGGCATGGGTTAGCGGCCTCATCCTGTAGAAAACTAACTTGCTATAATAACGCTAACCAAAAAGATTTATTCGAGCCATTTAAATTCTGTCCTGTGAGTTGAAGGAAGAATTATGATGTCTTGTGATGAAAGCCGAAATTCTTCGGAAGTCATGAGGCCGATGCATCTTCTAACAACCAGAACAACAATTTTTATAGGTACTTGGAACGTCCGGACAATATGGGAGACCGGAAGAGTCTTCCAAATTTCTGCAGAAATGAAAAAGAACCCGGGGGTGCATTGGATCAGTGAAACACATTGAATGTAGGTCGGACAACAATGACTAGCTTCAGGAGAGCTACTGTTATACTCCGGACAACAATGACTAGCTTCAGGAGAGCTACTGTTATACTCCGGACAACAATGACTAGCTTCAGGAGAGCTACTGTTATACTCCGGACATGTAGAAGAAAATCCTCCACATACACAGGGAGTTGCATTGATGCTGTCGAAACAAGCATAAAATGCACTTATAGGATGCGAATCTCATGAACCCAGGATTGTCAAAGCCTCCTTCAAAACAAAGAAAGAGAGCATTGAAATGAATATCATCCAATGCTATGCACCTACCAACGACTACTTCGAAGACGTTAAAGACAAATTCCACTATAGGCTGCAGTCGAGAAGTGCCCGACAAACGACCTGAACATTCTGATGGGAGATTTCACTGCCAAGGTTGCAATGGGCAACACTGGATACGAAAACGTTATGGGACAACATGGACTAGGGTAAATGAATGAAAATGGTGAGAGATGTGCAAACCTATGTGCCTTCAATAAACTGGTCATAGGTGGCACCATATTCCCACACAAATGCATTCACGAAACCCAATGGACTTCACTGGATCGCACTATACAGAAGCAAATCGACCATATTTTCATCAACTAAACGTTCATGAGGACGATGGAGGATGTGAGAACCAGGAGAGGAGCTGATATAGCATCAGATTGTAGTGACCGGCCAGTCTCGATAAGAACACGATTGGAATAATAGAAACAATTATTATTATTGTAACCAATTGTACCAGAGATTGTTTTACTGTATTTGTTTAACTGTATCCGTTTCACTTCTTGTTCCATATACCGCCTGGTTTGGTTCGAGCTTGCTCACGCACTGCCTGTTCGCCTGTACTCTTTGGCACGTCTCGGTATTATTTCGATACCACGAGATCGCCAATAAATACAATTGATCTGGATTAATAAAGTCTTCTGTTTTACGAGCTATTAAAGGAACCAAGTCGTTTTTGGGCGCGTAGACGAATTGTAGTGGTGATCATAGTCCGTCTTCGACTCGACATCCACTACAACTGGTGAGCCGTATTGGGAACACGCACATCTGGTGAACCACAACCAGTAACCCAATTCTTCGAGCACAGTTCAAACTTAGCCAATTCTCCAAGCCAGATCAATCCGGTGAGTCTATTTATCTATCCACTTCTGTTGCATATATTCGTATTGATATTTTTCAATATATAATATCTTGGCAACTTACCATGGTGGATAACGATAAGAGTAGTATAAATATAATAGACTCCGAGGTACAGGTTATCAACTTCCGACCGGTTCCTTTCATCCCCCATGATCCAGAAGTCTGGTTCGCTGCACTGGAATCTGAATTTGAGATCCGCCGCATAACCAACCAAAGGCAGAAATACGCCTACGCTTTGGAATCATTGCCCGGGGATCACCTAACCGCTGTCCGTGAGGTTGTCCTCAATCCCAACGTTCCAAACGTTTATGACCGTCTTAAGGATGCCATCCTTCGACATTTCCTCCCATCAAGAGAGGAAAGATTGAGGACACTTTTAGCACGTCACCCTATGGGTGATACTAAGCCGAGCCACCACCTCACGCGCCTGCAATCCCTTGCAGGAAACATGACAGCTGACTCTGAGATAGTCAAAGAGTTGTGGTTCGAAGCCTTACCAGTCAGTATCCAGCCGACCCTTACGGCTCTGCTCGAGGACACCCCGCTCAACAAGGTGGCCCTCATAGCAGATAAGATTCTGGCACGAGTTAACACCAAAGGCGACCATTTTGTTGCTAGTTTTTCTCGTTCTTACGTTGATCTCG